CTTCTTTTGGTTCAGTCCTCCATGTGTTGATGCATTTCTCAATCCATGCCCTACCATCCAGTATATCTACTACTCCCTCCAGCTTTGTATCATCTGCAAACTTGCTGAGGGTACATTTCACCCCATTTTCCATCAATGACCTGGAAGATATTGGACAAAACTGGCCCCAGGACCAAGCCCTGGGGCATTCCACTTGATATTGACTGCCAACTAGACATTGAGCCATTGACTATTTCCCTCTGAGTCTGACAATCCAGTCAGTTTGCTATCAACTTTACAGACCACTCATCTAACCCATACTTCCTTAGCTTGCCTGCAAGAAAGTTACCCCACAACAGCTTGCCCCTCCTGTAGAAAGACAGCCTCTCCAGCATAAAAAAGCTACTTCCTAGAATCTAAGAAGAGATGAACTCTTATCTCAAATACCCTGATCTGAGTCTACAGGAGAGCAGAAACCATTTAGAAATTAAACTGCATCAAAATGCTAAAGAAGAATCAGCAGGGATGGTTTTTTTTTTTTGCTACATCTCCAGAGTGGTTTACAGAACTAGAAATCTCCATGTTGTATTCATGCCTGAAGCCAACTTGACTGCAGTCAAAAAGTTCTTGGTCACAGCTGCCTAACTACAATTTTAATAAGCCTTGCTAAGGAGAGGGAAGGCTACAGAGCAGAATAGCGGCTGGTAAGATGCCAAGATCAAGAAAAGGGTGTGGGTTTTTCTTCCTTCCATTTTAAACAAACAGACAAATGCTCTAGAAAAAATTTACTTCTACAAGTGGGTTTATTACTAAGTTTGTGTACGGTTGAAGGTTGTTCAAGCATTTCAAGGGATTCTCCAGGCAACTTATAGTTAAAAGGCAGAGGAACAATAAAGGCTGCACTTTTTGAAAGAAAAAAATACAAAACAATGAAGGTCAAGGAATTATAGTCAGTGCTATCTGCTGAAGTGGATAAATTAACATGTTTCTTACAAAAAAAACACTTACAGGCCCTAATATCCAGATTCCTTTATTCTGTGTGCTATTTGCTTACCATGAAGATCACAGGCATTTACTAGCTAAACGAACGAGGGAAACAAGACACGCACTTATGCAGGACCATACAGCAAGTCAGGGACTCGGCCAGGAATAGAAACCAGGTTTCCTGACTGCTTCCCTCCCTCCCACCTACCTGGCACTGCATCATATTTCTTTTTGTATTATGAACTTCAACCCATACAATTTGTAAAGGAAAAACCCACTAAAATAAAGACAAGTTGTTCAGATTTATTTGGAAATTCACAGTTTCTAATGGCACTACAGCTCTGTAGTTACATACTCTTTCTTCCACAACATTGTATGCTGCACTCAGATGGTATAAAAACTTCTTCCTGATTCCAATTGGGAGCTCTTCTGAATACATGTTCTAAAAAATCAGGTCCACGTGCTCTGACTGGCTAATTGTGCAGATTGACATTGAAAGTACCTCACCTTAAAGTATTCAAAACCTAACATGAAAGCAGCAAAAACAAAGGCCTTAAATAAGTCACATTACATACAATACCCAGGAAAGGCATTAGATCCATTAAAAAAAGGTATCACTAAAAGTGCTCAATAAGTTAACTTAGTTGTACAACATGAACCTGTAACAACTTTCATAAAGGAATATCCTTTTGTCCCATTCACTCAGATTCACATTCACAAAATTTTATGCAGCCATACATCCTATTTTATCCAAATATACAATTACTGTCAACACACACTCACACATTCAGATATGAAAGTACTAAATACATACATACACTGCACAACTGGTTAGCCAATACAAAAGCAAAACTTTAGGGAAATATCCACTTTTGAACAGACCTGACCAGTTAGATTTCAAAGCCTGGCAAACTCACTGATGCATTTGTACCCAGGACTGATTAGGACAGCCATTTCCAACACTTTGCTGTCACTTTTATATTTTTGTTGGCTAGATATCCTGAAGTTGCCATATTCTGAATTAAAATAGGAAATGAAGAGGCTAAAATAAATCTTAGGAGTTACAAAAAATTCCATCTGGGGAAAAAGGCATGGTTGTTGTTACAAGATCCTGTAATGTACAGCACAGAAATTGTTGGGAAATTCTCATTCATTTAAATACACCCGAATACTACAATGCATTTTAATTAAGAAACTCTGAAATTTGACGTTATGGCTTCAAGTAACAAGATGTCTTGCCCAAGTGAGTTTGCAAAACAAAGATCTAATCAGCCAGTCTACCTTATTAGTATTTCTACAATATCTAACCCACTTTACTGAGTCCAGCTGAAGGCCAACACATCCTTTTACAGCACTGTAGTGTTGCATCTTCAAAAAAGCTAGAGAAATTACAAAAGAAATCAAATGACAAACAAATTGTTCTGTTGCCCCCGCTTCCAGTGGCATTATAAATAGACAAAAGGCACATAAATATGGGAAGGTGCAAGAAATAGGAACAAAGCTAAAAGGGAAGAGGATTAGGCTTTTATCCCTATTCCACCCAAACTGGGTTTCAAAAAAATCTTTGCCCCAGGAATTGTGAAAAAAACCCTTTATAAAATGAGCCCTTCCTCCCTCCCCCCAAGCTGTCCACAAAGGAAACTATCAGCTTTGCAAAATTGCAGCTTGTAACTGACGGACACAATCCCACTGACGTACAAGAGGCAGAAACCATCATTTCTGAATACTTTCCAATTAGTTGAGTTCTTTGTCTCCCACCATCCTCCCACAGAATACCACAGGCTGTTCAGATGAACAAAACTCTCCTGATGAAAATGTTCAGCTAGTTTTAGACGTGTCCAGAAACGGTTGTGACACCAAGTGTTCCCACTGTTATATCTTTGTTTCCTTTGATTAGATCATGAAGGCTTGGCATTGACCCCGACTTAGTCTGTATTAAAGTTTTTATAAGCTTCCCTTGGTCTGGTACTTTTGACCTTCTTCGTTTTAAAGCCCTCTTCTCAGTTTTTGTCTTTTGGGTTTGTCCATTGCACAGACTTGTACAAGCTGAAATGCCACAAAAATAGGACTCCTCAGACTGTGATGAAGTTTCTGAGCTTCCTTCTGATGGAGGTCCCTTGTATGAAGAGTGATACACCTCTCCAATATTAGAGAAGTCTCTCTGGTTCGTAAAGGGTTTCCCTCCTTTTATCTCCCCATTGGCTATCGGATGCAGAGGCTCTGCTGCTGGCTTGATAGTTTCAATCTTTTCACTTTTGTACTTGCAACGTTTTTTCTAAACCACAAGAGGAGGAAATAATTAGACTATGCAATGCAATCTGACTTAAAAAAAAAAAAACAAAAACAAAAAAACCCCCAAGTATAAGCACCAGTAAGGGTTTTTTTTGGTCTGAGAGAAGCACCACCTACTGGAAGAGGTACTCTACCTTTTTTTCTGGTGAAAATTTCAGGGGTTCTACAATGTACAAGTCGCCTGGATCCACTGGAAGAAGAGATTTAATATATTAACAGGACAATAAAAACTTGAAATTACAACTACAGGCACTTCATATTTCTAGGGTTATGCAAATTCTAGATACTGGTTCTTATTCCTTCATCCAAACTTATGTTATCCTGCTTTCAATACATTCCCTAGCTCCCATTGCCTCTTAATGAGATGCATGTGTAAGGAGAGAAAAAAATAGGACTCCAGACTGAACAGCTCGATAAATCTTTAACAAGTCAGAATGGTTCGTTTTAAAGCAACATAACTGCGTATGAACTGAAAGATCTCATTGATAGGTTAGTCCAAAAGACCGTGCATAATAATCTAGCTAAATATTGAATTGTTCAGATTGAACCTAAACATTATGGGATTATGAAATTTTAGGAAACAGCCCCTCCCCTTTCTCCCCCCATGTAAAAGCTGATAACTGCAGATAAAGACATTGAACTGTTACTGTCACTGCAAAATCCCATTGGAGAATCAAGTAACCAACAAGAATTAGAGTTAAACACTAATAAACTAAATTAAATCTGGAAAAAGAATCCTGGCTTGATTTTTTTACTGCATGCACAAAAATACCAAAGTCTTATTTTAAGACTGCCCCACATAAGCTGAATGCGATGTTTATTGTTTTTCTGAAGGAAAAAAATGGCAGATTTGAAATCAGACCAATATAGTAAAATAAAGAAAATATTGCAAATACAAGCTAATGCAACTTAAATAGGAAGGCTGCCTATGCCAGCCTAAAACTGAAAGTTATTATTGCTTCAGTGTTTTCATAGTCACACTTCCAAACAGAAGGCAAGGATTTATTAAGGCGATACATCTTATAAATCTGACCAACTATTTACGTGTTCCCACTGTTTCCACGTATGTACATAGTTGGTCCAATAAAAGATATCACCCTAAGAAGCCCTTGCTTCTTGCATAATTTCTGAACCATCGTGGCTACAATCACCACTCAAACTACTGTATTCAAACAGAAGCACAGAATCCTGAAAGCAAAAAGTGTGTGTGTAGAAGTAGTAATCCAGGTTTTAGCTGGTCTCTTACATTTGTTCATGTGGTTTCTTCCTGCTCACACAGTAAAGAAAAAAAATTGTTCCTCCCAAACAAAGAGAACTGTATTTGTTGGTTTATTAGCAGTTCCTCATTTGTTTTAGGAAAAAGTGCTAATCCAAGAGCAGAGGTTGATCCGACACTAATTACAGCATGCAGGAGCAGACTTGATTAACAGTCTGCTGGAGTGTGGCAATTATCTTGCTCCAGCAGCCTCCTGTGTCTTGTGCATCAGTGTTCCCAAGCTTAAAAATGGTAGCGGGGGTGCCTGAACTAAAGCTTGTCCTGTCCCCTCACCCGCCCCCCTGGAGCATGTGTAAGAGTGCCCCTAGGTTCAGAATACAAGTGAAAATGTATTCCCTAGTGAGGGAACCAAAACCCGGCCCATATTTTTGGAAGGCAACTAACAAAATTTAGATCCCTCCATACTTTGAGTGCCCAATTTAAGGCAGTTTGAGGCAGGCATTTAAGCACCAAGTTTCAATGATGCTAGCTAGTGCCATTTTAAATTGGGTACTCAAACATCAATAGCCTGAATTTTCGTAAATTGCTACTATGCCTTTGCAAGACCCCTGTTTCTACACACACACACACACACACACACACACACACACCTTCCAGGATTGCTGTGAACTATAAGAATTATATAATTCACAATTTCAGAGTCACAGAAACATGTTGAGGGCATTCTAATGCACAGTGTGAATGCATTCAAGTGTAAGTTTAAAGGCAACATTTTGGGCTCTGTTTTGCATGCAGATAGTGTAGCATGGCCAATAGTTATTGACTTTAGGAGTACTAAACAGGATTTGAAAAAGGAATCCTCTACAAATAGGACTGCATACCAGATTCCTCAGCTGCTGGATGCAGATGTTGATGCTAATGATAGCCTTTTAGACCTAGCAATATCAAGTTTAAGAATTGAATGGTTATTATGAGGTAACCATTATAAAGGAATAAGAACCATGTTTGCAATTTATTTTGCCAGCCTGAAGTGAGGAAGGGAGTTATTTACTATAGTGTTGTCTAGGATATCAAGGCAACTGACCTTATTTATACACAAATTGAATAGATGTTGTAGGATAGACTAAAGGGTAGTTTAAAAATGCATTAAAAAGGGTTTACATTCAAACTTTGGTTTCTAGCAGATTTGAAGAACAGCTCCCCAGTATTATATTGAATATTTTTTTCTTATTTTAATCCCCCACTTACATTTATAATATATTCAGCTGTCTAATACTATACAAATTGCTATTAACAAGGAACAGCAGAGAAATGAAAGTGTATGTTTCTGACAAACCAACATGGATCAACTGAATGAGAGTTCATGTGTTCTAGTCACAAAAATCTAGACACTGATTTGGGCGAGCAGGTATGGCTTTAGGCCTTTGGTTCGGAAAAATCTTGGACCTTGAAAGAATCCTAAATATAGATAAATCAGGCATATATAAAGAAATCCAGGACAACCATGTAAGAATAAGCCTCCATTAGAATAGGGTTTATTTGGTAGGTGTTTATTCCAGGTTTACAGATTGCTGGTTTGTTTTCAAATAATAGGCGTACAGAATACCTAATAAATTTCTTTGAACCACAATTCAGTTTACTCCAAACAGTTTCAAGATGGAAAAAGGTTTCTGAAAAAAACCCCTCAGAAATAAATATCTTTCACAGGATCTAGGACAAACATAACTCTACAGTTCTACAGTGATAGATTTCTGTCACCCTCTTGATTGTTCAAAAATTGGTCTCTGATCACTGGATTCTCCCGATTCACTTTGGAATATTTGCTTTGAAAACAGCAATTAAACTTCCTTGTACATTAGAACGATCAAGAAAACAATCCATTTTAGAATATAGTTGCTGGTCAGGACCTATGCTTAGAGAAAAGTCCTCATCCACCTTTTAGCAAAATTTGCTGTAGGATTACTCTACTGCTATCCAAAAAGTGGAAAACCAACTCAGTATAAATAATCTTTAATTGCAAAAGCTCCAGTGCTGCATTCCGCTGCTTACATATATTCTGTAATTTTATTTTCAGAAGCAGACATTCCAACTCACTTGTTGGCAAGAGATACTCTTTCGTCTTTTGTTCATCTTTAAAAACAAAAAAAACAAAAAACTCCAAAACCCACATTCAGCATCTTTTCATTACTTTTTATGAGTTAACATTGCTAGGCTTCAAGAACTCTTCTGATAAAGAACAGGCAAGTGACAGCAGTAACAGACTGTACTGTAACTTCAGATACGTTACTAAGGATTTGGACATTTTCTTGGGAGGGCTTGTATTTGCAGCACAGTGGGGGCAGCACTACCCTATGAAACAGTTTTGAACCCATGCCTTAAAGACATTTTGAGGATGCTGGAAGAGACATTAAGAGAAGTACCGACACTTAAATATTAAGTCTCAAAAAAATGCTTTGAGATTAAAGATGCATGTTCTAATGTAAGTAGAAACTGCATTTTATCCACCTGTATTTTCCTTACAGTAGATGCACCTACATGTGCAATTAGCATGTAACAATGAACTCCAGTGCAGTTCATGCTGGAGTCAGCTGCTCCCAGGCACAGCATCTTCATGTGTGCACAGGACTGCAACTGCCTGAACCAGGTACTATTCTCCTGTGGAGTTAGTTTACTCCAGTCTAATTACATGTTGCACATCTCCATGTGCACCTGTCTGTGCAGCTAATTAATCTACTCCACAGTAAATGTCTTGTGTACACATGACCAGTTACTTTATCCTGTCCACGGTGATTTAACTATTGTGTCCACAGTCTTCTTTTATAACTCATTGAATTACTGCAATTCATTGTTTTCTAATGTACCCAATGATGCACTTCATTGGTGGAAACCAAGTACAGTGTTGCTGGATTCCTCTTCTGAAAACTGGTTTAAAAACAACATTCATAAATATACAAATACAGAAACCACATTTTACACATTTAACAAAATGCTAAGAATTAACTGTACATAAATAGTACCTTCTTTGCCAGTTAGTTGAAAAGACTGGGATCTGACAAGTGGAAGAGAAGTTCTTCTTTTCAGATTCATATCATCATAGGAGGAAAAGCATCTGTAAGTAACAAAATCCACAAAGAATTGCAATTTAACAAATGATCCGATTCATGTCTCTATTAATGCCCTTTGTGCTTTGTACTGTAGTCAGACTTTCCCATGGCCAGGCATCTCAGAAATTATTCTGGACCTTGTTGGTGGTGCTCTTTCAAAAGTGGCCACGGGACACCTTAAGAGCAACATGAAGTGTTCTCTTCATATCCAGAATTTGGAGTAGTGTCTTCACTAGTGCCCATAAACCCTTCCAAGAACAAGGCATTACTCAAATCTCAAAAGGAAATCTAATTCCCACAGTTACAGGATTCTTCTACAGAAGCCTCTGTTGCATTTCATAAGCTAAGCTTCTGAACTTGCATAAAAGAATTAGTACAAAGTGAAATGGACAAACATGACATCCTCCCAACTGGACGGAGTCCCTCATTTCCTCCTAAATTTCTAGATAAAGTGTAAATATAAAGCCTGTAAAAACTGATACATTTTAATAGAGGAGTACCTTTTGGGGCTAGGGTAATGATTACTTTGGGGAATTTTTGAGTGGTAATCTTCATTGAACTGAGATGCATTTCTGCAACGCTGCATACAGAGGATCAAAACCAGGATGAGACACAGAACCAAAGCAATCACCAGATAGCTCTGTCGATCAGAAACCTGAAAAAAAGAGATATTTTTTTAAAGTTAAAAGATTAGTTTAACTGTAATGCAGCAAACAAAGTATATTATTAAACAGTTGTTCAACTTCTTTTGAGCTTAAGACCATGGTAAGTTTTCAGTGTATTCTGGGGATTCTTTTTCAATTTTTATATCCAATACTTTTCCTGGGTTTTTTTTTTTAAAAACTGAGTGTTTACTGTACAGCCTGGCATTTGCCATACTGTAAATTCACTTGCCTATTATATTTGATAACTTAACCAGCAGACCCAACATTTTTGAAGTCTCAACAATTACCAAAGACTTAAGTATCAGATAGCTGGTCTCATTTTAATTGCACAGAGGCACCAAAAACTTACTTTGTCACCTTACTCAACCAAAAGTCCTGACCTCCTGGAGGTAGGCAAATCCAACTATGACAGCAGTCTTGCACTGTTAGTTTGTTCTGTGCTACTGACCCTATACTCTGTACTGCAGCAGTTATCCAAGACTGCTTCCCATACTATTTGACTGCTTTGCTTTGACTAACTGCCAAGGGCCTGAAAACATTATCTGCATCTCTTTGCAGATGCAACTGCATTTCAGGAAGATCCTTGGCCACAACAGAACCAGAAAATATTTGTAGACAAGTTTTCCATGCCCAGCTTCTTGTGCCACACCGAGATGTTATAATTACCTCACGTTTTAGTTCAGCTACAGTTGTTGACAGATTGGAAACTAGCTGAGTCATGTTGTTGAGCTGCACCTGTAGCAGTTGGATGGCTTCTGTTTGCCGCTGATCCTGTTTAAAACAAAATGGGGATAAGTTAATTTTACTTTGCAGAATTCTATCACCATGTGCTGTTAAAATTTATCAGAATACATTCCACCTGATCTACTACATTAGAGTCCATAGAGCCAGAGTGAAGAAAGCTTTGTTTATATACTGATTAGATACAAAGAAAATATTTACCATAGATAATTGGATCTAGATTCTACAAAACAAAGATTTTCTGCATAAATCTTTAAAGTTTAAGCAGCATGTACCATTGCATTTTGATTGTGCCAAGTTTTTACATGAACACTACCGAAATCTGCACAGATCAAGTATTGGCTTTATCCCAAAAAGCTACCTTACAGAAAATGCATTTCACTATGATGGTTTCTATCCGTGTCATTTTATCTGTGAAGTACGAGAATAAAAAACCAACCCACTGCCCTGTATGATAAAGAGGGGTCTAGCTTTTGTGTGTCAACAATAGCAACTGAATTGCTGTGAGTCTAACAATCAGTTGCTTACACTCCAACGAAACAGGCTGCTGTCTACAAAAGCTTCTACCTTTTCTGAAAGAGTTAGTCTTTAAGGTGCCACCCTGCCCTGCTTTCAACCCAATGCTTGTTAAACACTTCTTTGGGGTCAATTTCAAAAGGAGCATGGTGCTATAAATATTACAAAGGGCCTTGTTACACAGTAATTTTAGGCAGCTTCTGGAGTTCTTAACCCCTGAATTGGCTGCATATTAACAGCTTTTAAGTGGTTTAAAGTGCTCATTATCCACCTTAAAAAGTTATGCCACTCCAGGGCATGATCATCTCCAATCAACCTAATTTCGTTCCTATTCCATTACCATATGGTCAATTCCCACAGCTATTCTCTCCAAGCTGAAGTCCCCCAGTATCCTAGGATGCAGGGGCAAGCAGAGACACTGGGTACAGTGGGGCCAGGCACAGAGTTGCTGCCTTGCTGCAGCTCTGGAGCACCTGGCAGTTGTGGTGCCTCCCAGACTGACTTGCTGCTCTGAATGTCTGGGCCAGATCTGGGCTGCAGTGCCTACAGGGGTGGCAGGCTGGAACTAACCCCTCCCACTGACCCATAGTTGAACCTGCGCCTACCCCCACACTCCAGTTAAGTGCATCCCCCACCTCGTACCTGTGCTCCCAGGCCCCAGACATACCCTGGCAGGGCCAGGCAGCTGAAACAGGGTACAGCTTGGTAGCTGCAGTGCAGTAGCCCAAGGCCAGTTCCCACTACCCATTCTGCTGGGCTGTGCATGGTCTGGCCATCAACAGCCACAACTGGCAGGCACTTGAAGCCCCTGAACCCCTTCCCCCATAGCAGCTGGGTGGCTACAGGCAGTGTGAGGCTCAGTACTGAGCGTCTAGGCTGGGATGAACAGAGCAGGTGGGGAGGCTGCACTGCTCACAGCCGCCTCCCAAGCCCGACAGGTAAAAGGATGGGACTTCCTGCCCAATGGCCACAGTAAGCTTGTACAGCCCCTACTGTCCACACTCAAAACCAAGCAACAGAGACAGCCATGAGATTCAGAATAAGTTTTGAAAAAAGA